CGTCAGAAGCAACAGATAACCGGAGTCGAACAGAACAGAAATCGATTGTAAGACTTGCCGCGCGGCGACCTAGACTGCCCTTCCCCCCAAAGATGTGCCTAACCACTCACCATGCTGCCATGGTGAGGCAGAATCTGAGACTGCTCAGAAGGCGGATCCCTACTCGGCACAGCACCTCCCTAGGACGCACCACCCACGGGCAAGCCTGTTAGCATGTCAATGCCTCTCCATGATGGAGAGCACTGCACGGAAACGAGCACAGAGGAGAGCGTGCGTGAGAAGCAGCAGTGGAAACAGACTCGCAAGGAATCGTATTCAGGTCTGAGACTTGCCGCACGGCGACCTAGACAGCCATGCTCCCCCCCAATAGAGTCGTCCAATTCACTCACCCTGCTGCCATGGTGAGGCACATTCCGAAACGCCTCAGCAGTCGGATGATTACTGGCAGAGCCCCAGTGCCCCACTCCGCCACGCCTTGGCTGGACTGCCTCTCTGGGATGTGATGCACCACCACGCTTTGGCCGGACTGTTGACGCGTCCTTGGGCCTCTCAGTCAAGAACCACAGCAGGGAACACAGCACAGGAGCAAGCACACAAGAGGATGTATCAGAAGCATGAGAGGAACCAGACCCAAAGAAACCCAAATCTGATTGTAAGACATGCCGCACGGCGACCTAGACTGCTATGCCCCCCCCCAATAGACTTGGCCATTTCACTCACCGTGCTGCCATGGTGAGGCAGAATCCGAGATGCATCAGCCGTCGATTGGTTACGGTTGTAGCGCCTCTCAGCCACGCCTTGGCAGGAGTGTTGACGTGTCCTTGGGCCTCTAGGTCAAGGAGTCTTCTCAACAACACCGGTAAACACAGCACAGGAAACAGCACACAAGAAAGTGTATTAGAATCGGGGTAGGAACCGGACTCGCAGAAACCAGAAACTGGTTCTAAGACTTGCCGCACGGCGACCTAGACTGATCACCCCGATTGACTTGGCCAATTCACTCACCTTGCTGCCATGGTGAGGCAAATTTCGAGACGCCTCAGCAGTCGACTGGTTACTGGCAGAGCCCTCCCTGGGATGCGATGCACCGCCATGCCTTGGCAGGACTGTTGACACTCGTCCTTGGGCCTCTCAGTCAAGGAGGGCCCCCAACCACAGCAGCCAACACAGCACAGGAAAAAGCACACACGACAGTTTCTGAGAATCGGAAGAAAAACCGGACTTAAAGAAACCAAAATCTGATTCTAAGACTTGCCGCACGGCGACCTAGACAGCTAAGCCCCCCCCCTATAGTCTCGCCCAATTCGCTCACCGTGCTGCCATGGTGAGGCACAATCCGAGACGCATTAGCAGTCGATTGGATACTGGCAGAGCCGCTCTTTGCCACGCCTTGGCAGGACTGTTGACGTGTCCGTGGGCTTCTCAGTCAAGAAGGCCCCCCACCAACAGCAGCCAACAAAGAACAGGAAAAAGCACACAAGAGAGTCTATCATAAGCAGAATAGCAACCGAACTCAAAGGAACCAAAATCTGATTCTAAGACTTGCCGCACGGCGACCTAGACAGCCATGCTCCCCCCCAATAGAGTCGGCCAATTCACTCACCGTGCAGCCATGATGACGCAGATTTTGAGACGCGTCGCAAGTCGGATGGTTACTGCGAGAGCCCCTCCCTAGGGTTTGATGCACCACCACGCCTTGGCAGGACAGTGGACGCCTCCGTGGCGCCCTCCAACCAGAGCAGCGAACAAAGCACAGCACAGGAACAAACAAGCACACAAGAGAGTGTATCAGACGCATGAGAGAAGACGGACTCGAAGAAAGCAAAAATTGATTCTAAGACTTGCCGCGCGGCGACCTAGACAGCTCTTAGCCCCCCCGATTGACTCGGCCAATTTACTCACCCTGCTGCCATGGTGAGGCACATTGCGAAACGCCTCAGCATTCGGATGGTTACTGGCATAGCGCCTCTCCGCCACGCCTGGCAGGACGCGACGCCTTGGCAAGATGCGACGCACCGCCACGCCTTGGCAGAACTGTTGACGCGTCCTTGGGTCTCTCAGTCACGGAGGCCCCCCAACCACAGCAGCGAACACAGCACAGGAACAAGCACACCAGAGAGTGTATCAGAATCAGGATAGGAAATTGACTCAAAGAAACCAAAATCTGATTCTAAGACTTGCCGCACGGCGACCTAGACAGCTAAACTCCCCCCCTATAGTCTCGCCCAATTCACTCACCGTGCTGCCATGGTGAGGCACAATCCGAGATGCATCAGCAGTCGATTGGATACTGGCAGAGCCGCTCTCCGCCACGCCTTGGCCGGAATGCTGACGCGTCCGTGCCTCTCAGTCAAGGAGCCCCCCCAACCACAGCAGCGAACACAGCACAGGAGCGGAGCAAGCACTCAAGAGTATACCAGAAGCAGAATAGCCACAGGACTCAAAGGAACCAAAATCTGATTCTAAGACTTGCCGCACGGCGAACTAGACAGCTATGCTCCCCTCCAATAGACTCGGCCAATTTACTCACCCTGCTGCCATGGTGAGGCAGACTCCTAAACGCCTCAACAGTCAGATGGTTACTGGCATAGCGCCTCCCTGGGATGCGACGTACTGCCAAGCCTTGGCCGGACTGTTGACGCGTCCGTGGTCCTCCTCAACCACAGCAGCGGACACAGCACTGGAACAAGCACACAACAGAGGGTCTCAGAACCATGAGCGAAAACGGATTCGAAGGAAACGAAATTTGATTCTAAGACTTGCCGCGCGGAGACCTAGACTGTTTCTGCGCCCCCCCCACTTGCCCTCCGTACGTACGCACCTTTACATTCCGCGATGAAGCCTGTCTCTCGCGCTGCTGATTTGCCCGCTCTTGCTCCTGCTGCTCCTGCCGGCGCTGCTACTGCACCTCCCGTGCTCCATCCTCCTCTCTCCCTCGACACACAGAGCGCACAAGAGCAGAGACGGAGTGCAAAAATGCGTCAGAGCAGCACGAAAACAAGGACGACGGGGAGCAAGAGCAGCTGATGACGACGCAAGACACCTGCGCGGCGGACTCCTACGTCATACGCGCCCACCCCACTTGCCCTGTGCGCACGCGCACCTTCGCATGCCGCTCTGGCGTTGTCAGCGTGCATCAAATCCGCTCTGCTGACGTCAGTGTGCTTCACATGCTGTTCTGCTGTCGTCAGCGTGCTTCAAATCCGCTCTGCTGTCCCCAGCGTACTTGGAATCCGCGTGCATCAAACACATCTGCTGCCAATACCACCCAGCTTCAACCCGCGGCTGACACCCGTTGCTGCTGGGCTAAACCCGCGTTGCCGCTCCCTCACACGCTGCTGCTCTCAGGTGGGTCGTCTACCCCTAGCAACCTTCGATTCCTTGCACGTGCTGCTCTGCGTTCCATCATGCTGAATCCTTCGCCGTCATTTCTCGAAGCAAACCTCGCGTACGGCAGCTGAGTCGGCGAAACCAGTGAAGCGTAGTGAACGGTAGAGCAATTCGGCGGCGAACAGCAGCAGCTGTGCGAAAGGCAGAGATACTTGGTCAACGGCACCGAAAGTCGGCAAGAGTGAGCAGAATCCGGCAAATGACCGATAAATTTGACGAACGACGGGAGCAAACTTGGCGAAAGGCAGAGAAACACCGCGGACGGCGGCAACGAACTCGGCTAACTTCAGCGTCAGTCGGCGAAGGGCAGACAACCTCGGCAAACGACAGCGAAAGCCGACGACTCGTAAAATCGAAAAAAAAATGGGATGGCTGATGAAAGGTCACGGTGTGTATAGAGACGGTATTGAGCGTCGTATTAGCACGGCCTCGAAAAAAAGGTCCAGCAAAGTGACCAGCTGGGCCACTTTGCTCATGTCGCTATTCCGTCAGGTGGTTTAGGGCCACATGTTGAAAGCGGCAAATTTGTCGTGCGTAACTGAAATGCTTTCTGGAAGTCGCTACTCCATTCTGCAACTTAAAACCGGTTAATCAAGGTCGCTAATCCATCCTGCGCCTTTGAACCGCGGACTAAGGTCGACAACCTATCCTGCATCGCTTAACACTCCTGCATTCAGAGCCACGTAGTACGATTGCTATCTTATCCTCCGCTAGAACGCATTCTGCAACCGTATCATGGATCAAGATTGAACCAGAACAGACGAGTTGCGACGCTAGCTAATATTCAAGGTGGAACGTAATAAAAGACTCACTTGGCCTAGAGAAGTCAAGACGAAGCATTTCATGCCGGAAAATCCGCGTACTAACGTCGCTCCAGGCGGATTAATCTCTAACAGCTAAAGAGTCCTGGCTACTGAAAGCTGGGCCGACAATGGAAACCTGTGAATTCGGAAAGAGCAAGAGTTGTGTCAGCTGGGAAGGGAGTTGTGTTTGAAACAGCCAGGTATTCGGGGAGGAGGGAGTGTCAGAAACGGCGGCTCTGACAACTTGGATGAGAATTGGCGGCGGAATCGAGGCGCAAAGTGTTGGAACCTTGTAGCCCAAAATTATTGCAATGAATGACAGCATAACAGTCAATCTGTAAACACATGAAAATAATAGAATCTAATTACATAAATATAAGGGTTTGTTGTTTACCCATGCAACCATGTCCATGAAATTCAACTCGGATTCTTTTAGTTTAGAAACACTAATAAGCGAAATTAGATTGACTCACCAGCAGAAGCACCATTACTCAGAATCATTTTGTTGTTTTGAGGACGAATAATTTATTAGCACAATACTAACATGGCAGAGTGAGATTCATCATGTGGATTGCAGGAACTTGTGAGCATTCTACAATGCACCATGCCTGGCAAGACACAGCCAGGCCACCATGAGACGATACCCTAGGCCACATGATAAAACACACCACTGCCGTAACACAACTAAGCACACAGAACTAGAAATTAAAGCTAGCGCAGGACTTGTCTTCATCGAGGGTGCTTCAAATCTGACAGAAGAGAAGGAGCGGCGAATAATATATGAAATGCGCTTGCACGTGACGCGGCCTAATTGGCCCACACGCCAAAGAATTCCGCATCACCGGAAGCAGCAATCTGCGACGCATCAAACGCATCGAAGTCGTCAAGCATGTCGCGGAAGATGTTGTCCGTGTTCTCAATCGGCGCCAGGTCCGCCAGCAGCGCGTTCAGGCACTCCGCATCCTCCTCGCTGCTCGTCTCGCTCTCCGTCGCCTCCAGCTTGATTCCGCCCATCGCGGGCGACGGTTCCAGCTCCGGAATAAATGCTGGCGATGCAGGTGCAGCGGGGGAAACGGGGGACGAGGGGGAGGCGGGAGACGGGAGCGGGAGCGACAGGCCGGCGGTGTGGATGGCCTGGCCTTGCAGGGATTTCTCGAGCGCATCGGCGATTTCTGACGTGTCGAACATCTTCGCGGCCTCGCGGCTTGCCTTCAGCAGAGTCTCGGCGGTAGCGGGCGGCAGCGGAACCAGCTGGAAGCTACCGGGAAAGTTCAGCGACGCCTTGGACCCGCGGAGCAGGCGCGCGGCGACGTCGTAAGCGCGGGCGGCGTCTTCAGGGGAGTCGAATGAGCCGAGCCAAATGCGCGTGCGCTTGCGGGGCTCGCGGATTTCCGAAACCCACTTCCCCCACTTGCGCTGGCGCACGCCCTTGTAGCGCGGGCCCTGGTCGCGCGCCGCGTTGCACACGATAACTTCAGAGTCGGAATCCTTGTCTTCCTCCTCCGACGACCACGTGGCAGCGTCGAGAGAAGTCGGCTCCTGCTTGGCACGCTTTCCGCGGACAGACTTGGCGGAGTCGCCACCGCGGGAGCGCTTACCCGCGAAGACCTTCTCGAGAATAGGCAGCGACGACGGATGGGAGCCCTCGGAAGATGCGGGGGATGGCGCGAAGGATGTTGCCGCGGATGGTGCCGGAGAGGGCGCGTCGTGCGCGATGAGCGGATGCGGCGCGGGGAGGGGGGCGGAAACGGGAACCTGGGAGAGAGCGTTGAGAGCGGGGACGGCAAAGGAGAGGGAGGACTGAAGCTGGTGGAGGGTGTCGACCTGCTGGCGCTGCTGCTGCTGCTGCTGTTGCTGCATGGCGCGCTGGTTCTGGCTGACGGCGTCGACGAGGCGTACGAGCCCCATTATCGCATTCTGCGCCGCGAGAAGAGCATTGCCGAGAGCCGCCTCGCCGTCAACAGGGGGGTCGACGAGGGGAGAGACGGGGGAGGAGAGAGGAAACGGCTGCTGCTGCTGGTACTGCTGCTGATACTGGAACTCCATTTTTCAGAAGAAATTGAAGGAATCGAGAACCAGGGACAAGATAGTGAAGTCGAACCGAGGAGCTTGAGAGAAAGGATTGAAGAGAGCTGCGGAGTCGCAGTGAGAGGAAAAGGGAGCTGCTTCAGGGGCTTTTGAAAGGAGGCTGGAGGGATATATTTCAAGAAGTCTTAAGAGAGAGCTTTTAGAAGAGAGGTATTGGAAGTCTGGATTCACAGAGAAGGGGGTGTAAGAGGATCGTTAGGGAAGTAAGGAGGCAAGTCGTAGCCTACTTACTCCGCTAAAAGGACATCTCCTGCCTGGCGGCGGAGAGATGTCAGTTTAGCAGAGAAGAGGAACGAAACGCGAACTCGACTAAGGGAACAAAACCGCAGAGCGGCGCAGGATCGCACTATCAGAACGCTTTTAGAGAGCAGTTGAAAGCTTCGGTAAGTGAGCACTGGAAAATGAAATGACAAGAGAAGCTGATATAATTGTTCAGCAAGAGGGGCCGATGGGGGCAAGGAACAATCGTTTGCTGGAGGAGGAAGTGGTTGGACGGGATGGGCGGAACGGGAGGGGAGATGTGCGCAGCTTGAGGGGATGTGCGGATCGGCATTCGGGACGGGTTCTGGGGGGAGCAGCCCCGCGGGATGAAAGAGATGGCGGGAAAGTGGAAGGGTGGATGGATGGAGAGGGCGGGAGGGAGGGAGGGAGGGGAGGTGAACGGGGGAAGTGAGTGAGGGAAGAGAAGCTACGAGGAAGGGAAGCTCAACTGAAACCCCGACGCTTTTGGCACCAAGAATTTCGCCGATGATTGCGGAAAGGGGGACCTGTTGCAGAGGTTATGCGCGCCCAACTTTTCCAGAAGGCTCATCAAGATGCGGTCGATGTTGAACTGGCATCACGGGGGAAGACGCCCGTGCAGATCCTGTAGAATTTGGAGAGGGGGGGAATGTGCGCTGCGCTTGGGACCACGAGATTGCGCCCCCCGCCATCTCCGGTTCAGAATGGCGCTCCGCGAAGCAAGTTCAGCAGCGCGGCTGAAGCGGGTCATTCTGACGTGAGCCCGCGACGCGAGTCTGCAATGTGGGGCTGCTTGGAGCAAAGCGTCACGTGAGTGATGCAAGCAGGCCACCTCACCAACAAAACAAACCAGAATCGAGGGGTTTTTATACGGGCCATCACAAACAACTTCGTAGTTATCACGAGCAGTCACATGTTCCGCCAAATCTATCATGAACGGTCACATGTTCCGTCAAATCTATCACGAACCATCACACTGGTATCACCCGCCGTCACTCAAAGGCACTAAATTCTATCACGGGTAGTCACACTCGAAACTTTGCTATCACGGATGAACCCTCTCATCATTTCGTTGACCCGCTCTGTAACACTGTAGAGATTTAGGGACTATATTTCGGGTTGCTGGTTTTTGTCTTGTACACGCGACCATTTTGGGTGCAAAGATACCTGGTTACGTTCGAATCGACGTAACATACTTTAGTTCTAAAAATGGTTTGAATGAATTTGAACGCTTATATATATTATATATATATATCATATATATATATACATATATACTTATAGAGTTCACAGTTCATTGAATCTGCCTAAATGTTTATATAGATGCTAAAAAAAACATAACGTGGAATGTTCACATGCCTAAATTCATATCAAGATGCGTATACACATCTTGATAAACATTTAGGCAGATTCAATTAATTGTGAACTCTAGCAATATATATATATGCATTCAAAATTATTCATAAGTTTTTTAGAACTAAATTGTGTTTCGTCGATTCGAACGTAACCATGTATCTTTGCACCCAAAATGGTCGCGTATACAGGACAAAAACCAGCAGCCCGAAATATAGTCCCTAAATCTGTACAGTGTTACAAGGCGGGTCAACGAAATTATGAGAGGGTTCATCTGTGATAGCAAAGTTTCGAGTGTGACTACCCGTGATAAAATTTAGTGCCTTTGAGTGACGGCGGGTGATACCTGTGTGATGGTTCGCGATAGATTTGGCGGAACATGTGACCGTTCATGATATATTTGGCGGAACATGTGACTGCTCGTGATAACTACGAATTGTTTTTGATGGCCCGTATAAAAACCCGAATCGAGGGGTTGGTGCAAGAAAACTGCACGTAGGCTGTACATGTCGACACTTAACGGAACACAGGGTGTGAAGGCAAGCCTGCGAGCATCCATAACTAACAAGTCAGAGAACTTCTAAATAACGGCAAGCTGTAACTGAGGGGAACATTCCCCTAGGTCCCCAAGCCCACTGGCCCAGATGAATCCAAAAGGCGCAAGTTGGGTTTACAATCTATCCAGCTGTGTGAGTGACGGCGGGCAGGCAGAAAAAAAATTCGATTGAGTGACGCCCGCTTCATGCATATAGCTCTGAAGTTGTTAAGCCAATGAAACACGTATAACATTAGATGCATACAGGCAGCAGCCAAACAGCTTAAATCAAGGAATTTAATGCACAACATTGTTTGAAAGCATTTCTCTGTCTCATTTTGAATCGCTAAATATGGAGTCAACAACTGTAACAGCCGCCGCCCTAGCTGCAATATCGCCTGACATGGCATGCTCCTCAAAGTACCTCATCAGCCCTTGAAGCTTGCCTCCTGACCTAAATCTGGACAAAGGAGCCAAAACGAAAAATGTGCGCGTTGACCACGTGAAAACATGGTCAGAAGATAAGCATAACGGAACACTAAACTTCAAAAGCATAAAAACAACACATTGTAAATATGGAAAAAAACATGAATGGGACTCACTTGTACAGTATTTCTGCCTCCACGGTGCTCCACAGCAGTGCCTTGTTCTGAGCGCCCCTCAGCTGTTGCAGTTCACCAGACGAGCGCATGGCTTCCTGGAACTTGCCTATCTTCTTCCACACGTCCTCTATGCCCAGCCCTGTGCGCGTGCTGCATGCCACTACCTGCAGAGCCGAGGGGGCAGCCATGGAGAAGGGTGTGAGGTTGTACAGGAGCAAGCTGAAGCATGGAGAGCAGCATGCATGGGTGGAGCTTGAATGAAACAACTGAGACATTTCAACACGTGGTCTCACCGGGGTCATCCAGATGTTGTCGGCTCAATTCATCCGGAGTCTGCTTTGAAAAACTGGAACATCCCACCAACACAAGCTATCTCACCGGGGTCATCCAGAAGTCGTAGCGTGGGTGCACAAAGTGCAGCGCGTTGCTGTACTCGCCCAGTGCTGCCAGCGCCGCCCCCTCCATTGCGCCATCCGCCTTGTTCACCACCACCAGGTCCGCTATTTCCACCACTCCTGCACAGGGAGGGAGGGGAGGGGAGCGGAGAGAGGAGGGAAAGGCACATTCAATGGGCTGTTCCATAGGAGAACGAGTGAGCGCCTCCATGGCGCCATCCGCCTTGTTCACCACCACCAGGTCCGCTATCTCCACCACTCCTGGATACGATTAGGACAGGAACAGAAAGGATGGCAGGGGCGGGCACAGGTGTGTGTGCCAGTACTGCCAGCACTGCCAGCACTGCCAGTGCTGTCCCCTCCATGGCACCGTCTGCCTTGTTCACCACCACCAGGTCCGCTATCTCCACCACTCCTGCACATGAGTAGCAGGAGCGAGTACCAGGAGAGAAGGGAACGGAGACGATGGGAGGGGCGGGCACAGTTGATGCGCAGTTGTGTGTGCCAGTGCTGCCAGCGCTGCCAGTGCTGTCCCGTCCATGGCACCGTCTGCCTTGTTCACCACCACCAGATCGGCTATCTCCACCACTCCTGCCCGAGGGCAATGAGGAGAGGAGAGGAAGGGAGGAAGGAGGAGAGAGTGCAAAGGCAGAGCTGATGGCAGTTGTTGGGAGAGGGTCTGGAACAACTGCCCCTCTCCATGAACGAGCCCCTCCATGGCGCCGTTTGCCTTGCTCACCACCACCTCCACCACTACTGCAAAGTGAAAGGGAATGAATGAACTGCAATGCACAGCGCTGCACCGCACTGCACAGCTCTTTCCCCACCTTTCTCTATGCCCTGTTCCTCGTCGCCCCCAGTGGGTGGCACCAGCAGCATCATGTCAACGACATGCGCCTCCGCTCCATCCCCACGCCCCCTCCCCCCCCTCTCACTGCACTGCACTGCACCGCACTGTACTACACACCTTTCTTGATGCCCTGCAGCTCGTCCCCTCCAGCGGGCAACAGCAGCAACAGCACCATGTCTGTGATCTGCGCCACTGCCACGTCCACCTGCCCGCCCCCTACTGCTCTTCGCCGCACTGCACCGCACTGTATCGCACTGCAATCTACTACACACCCTTCTTAATGCCCTGCAGCTCGTCGCCCCCAGCGGGCGGCAGCAGCAGCACCATGTCCGTTATCTGTGCCACTGCCACGTCAGCCTGCCCGCCCCTCACTGCCCTTCACCGCACCGCACTGCACCGCACAGAACCGCACTGTACTACTCACCCTTCTTAATGCCCTGCAGCTCGTCGCCCCCAGCGGGCGGCAGCAGCAACAGCACCATGTCTGTTATCTGCGCCACTGCCACGTCAGCCTGCCCGCCCCCCACCGTCTCCACCAGCAGCACATCGCACCCACTCGCCTGAGAGAGGGGAAGGGGGCAGTGGGGAACGGTCGGGTGGGTGGGTGGGTGGGTGGGTGGGTGCAGAGAGCATGGAAGCATGAGAGAGCTCAACAGCACGTCAGCCTGCCCGCCCCCCACCATCTCCACCAGTAGCACGTCACACCCACTCGCCTGCGTACACATTGCGGGGGGGACGGGAAAAAGGGGGAGGAGAGGGGTGTGTGGGGGCAGCGCAGAGTGCAAGGAGGCACAGCAGCGCAGAGTGCAAGGAGGCACAGCAGCGCAGAGTGCAAGGAGGCACAGCAGCGCAGAGTGCAAGGAGGCACAGCAGCGCAGAGTGCAAGGAGGCACAGCAGCGCAGAGTGCAAGGAGGCACAGCAGCGCAGAGTGCAAGGAGGCACAGCAGCGCAGAGTGCAAGGAGGCACAGCAGCGCGCAACAGCCTGCCTGCCCCCCACCGTCTCCACCAGCAACACATCGCACCCACTCGCCTGCACATGAGAAGAGTGGAGGAGGCTGTACAAGGGGGAGCGTGGGTGCACGGATGGAGGGGCATGGCAGAGCGGTATCAGCAGCACTCTGGAGTGTTGCTGATCAGCAGCACCACACCACACCACATTGAATCTCCCCACACCATCTCCACACCACAACATCGCACCCACGAGCCTGGACATAGGGAGGAGGAGGGGAAGAGGTCAGCTCACAACACACACACTCTCCACCTCGCACCCACTGCCTGAATACCCACCCCGTTTTCGCTCCCTCTCCCCCACTCCCGCCCCCTCCCTTTTCCACTCAACCTCCCCCTTCCCCTTCCCCTCTCCCCCCCCCTCCCGCTCCCCATCCCCCCACCTCGCACAGCAGGGCGGCGTCAGCAGTGTTGCGCGCGAGCCCGCCCACCTCCCTTCTCCTCTTCCCCCCTTTTCACCTCCCCATCCTCCCCATCCCCCCCCAACCCACCTCGCACAGCAGCGCGGCGTCAGCAGTGTTGCGCGCGAGGCCCCCCACCTCTCCGCGCGAGGGCGTGGGGCGGATGAAGGCGGAGGGGTGCGCAGAGAGGCGCTCCATGCGCGTCTTGTCGCCCAGAATCGACCCCCCACTGCTGTGTGACGATGGGTCGATGGCTAGAACGGCTACTCGCCTGTCGTCCTCCACCGCGTGCATGCCCAGGCCTGGAGGAATCGGGGATATTAGGAAACGGCAGAGGGGAGAGGGGGGTTCTCTCTAGCGCGCCCAATCATCCGCCCACACCCAGACTATTTAGTCAGAGAAGACTTCCCCACGCTGGATGACTTTTGAATCGACTCAATAGTCTACTTCTCCTATCTCTCTTCCCCCGTCTCTCTGCCGCGTCCGATCCTATACCCCTCGTCCCCGAAGGACGCACGTTCGATGAGAGACGACTTCCCCGCGCCGGGCGGCCCCGTGATTCCGATCTTGAAGATTCCCCCCTGCGCCTTCCCCGCGCCGTTCGTAATCTCCGCCTGCGCCCTGCGCGCGCGCACCGCCTCCAGCACGTGCTGCAGCAGCGCCGCGGCCTGCGGGCGGTGCGACTCGCGCACGGATTCGCAGAGCGTGATCGCGCGGCTCAGCGCGTGCAGGTTGCCATCCAGCACGTCCTGCGCGAGCCGCGCGAATCGCGGCTCGAGCGGCGGGAGATGGAGCTTCGGATTGGTGGCGAATGCGCGGGAAAAGGAGGCGGGCGGAGCGGGAGATGCGGGGGATGCTGGAGATGCGGGGCAGTGGGTGTTAGTGAGAGCGGAGTGAATTGCGGCGGGATTGGCGCAGGGCGTGGCCCGCCCTCCGCGCCGGGAGACGCGGAGGGCGCTGGAGGCGCATCGAGAAGCGGCGGTTCGCCACATGGCTGCGGCGAAGGACACGTATGGACTGCCGTCGCCGCTCCTCTCGTGTGTGTACCTACCTGACCTGCTGCGAGCACCTTGCGATAGATGTTGTTATGGGTGATGGGGGTGCTATATTTACGAAGTTCAGACGAATTCGTTTCGGTCAACGCCTGCATTGGAGAGAACGAGGCCAATTGTAACGAATTGCGAGGCACGAGATGAATCGATGCTGATTGGTCGCAGGTGCGTGTCCCTCGGTTGGATCTTTCCTGCTCGATGGCTGAGAGAGCTGCCACGTGCACTGCCGCTTCCTCGATTCATGGGCTCTGAGATCTCTCCGCTATTGAGCACACGGAACCCCCAAACACTTACCATATAAACTGCGTTCTAAACATAGAAACTAATGTCATCACGTTTGGATAAGAAACTGCGGCTAATTTCAGCAGCCTTGGCGGTTCTTTGTGCTACTCTCTCATAGTCCCGGCTTCTGAGGTCCTCCTTTTGAAATATGGCTTCGGACAGAACAACAGCAACGGCCCCGGCTTCCAGATACCCTTCGATCATGTCTGCAAGTAAAGGGCACAGAACGGAAGCGCATTTATAAACATATACTGTAAGAGGCAACGCAATCAGTACACGAAGCAACGGTGAACCAATAATACGAGCATCAACTTACCCATCTGAATGCCATGAGCCGGCACTATCCCGATGGATGGCACTGCTCGGTGCATGGCCCTCACCAGTGCCTGCCCCCCTGCATAGGGCGCTGGGAATAGCTGATGGGAAGAGGGAGGATGGGTGAGGGGAGAGAGAGGATGGGTGACGAGAGGGTTGGTTGGAATAGCAGTGAGAATGAGAGGTGTGAAAGGATGGTGGCACTGCCGCAATGGACATGGCACCACTCGATGAATGGCATGTGATGGGCAGGAAATCGATCAGTGTCATATTGCTGCATGGCATGGTGTGACACACGGAACAGCACGGATGGCATAGGACGGCACAGGATTTCCCCACCTTGACCAGGGGAGCTCCAAGGCGAGACGCTGAAAGGATCTGAGGGCAGCAACGGGGCAGCAGAGTATGTGGGAGAGGGGAGACGAGGAGGAGAGCACAGTAACAGTGTGAGTGAGACAGGGAAAGGGCACCATGAGCACAGCACAGGCAGGCACGAATGATACAATTGATGTGCAGTGGGCTGAGTGCATGTGCCTCAGGGACGGCATACCTCGGTGGGAGTCATGGCCCCGGGTATGAAGACCATGGGGCCTGCTGCATGTGCTGCCACTAGATCCTGCCAGGGGTGGTGGAGTGTAGGACATGCACAATGCACATGGGATGAGACATGCGAACACAACGGACAGGAATCCAAAAGGCACCATGAGACGGAAATACCGCAGTAAAGGCATGCGGTCATGGAACCATGCCATGGCGTGAGCAGGTGGCACCATGACATGCACGTACCGCATCAGTGGCAGGGCTCATAAGGAAGCGAGCACCAGCACGGTGAGCTGCCATGGCGTCTTGCATTGAGAGCACCGTGCCCGCCTGTGGTAGCCAGGGGGGGCACATGGTGGGTGGCAGCATGGCACTGATGGGCGCATGGGAGCTAAGATGACGTGAGGGAGAGCAGGGGCACACAGCATGAGCGTTGTGGAAAGGGCACGGGGGCATGAGGAGCACGAGGGTGTGCAGAAGGCTGCATGGAGCATGGTGGTGAGGCGAAGAGAGGAGGTCTACATGCTGCGTGCGGTACACTCACGCACTCACTCACCCCTATGGTGGCATGTGGGAACTCCATGACCAGTGATGCGATGACCTGCAGGGAGGGGGAGGGGTATGAGAGGGGTGAGAGAGAGGCGTGGGAGGAGGCAGGGGTGAGAGCGATAGATATAGGCAGGGAGAAGGGGACATGTGCGAGGGAGAGAGAGAGCAGATGTATCTCACATTTAAGCAGGTAGAAGGGGACATGTGCATGTGCACACCACACCACACCACACCGCACCACACAGCACTGCAAACCATGCGCGCACCTGGAAAGCGCCAGGGGTTGTGCATGTGACCTCAAGCTGCCGGGAAGGGGAGGAAGGGGAGGGGAATGCAGGTGAGTGGGGGCGCGGCACGACAATGGAGCATCACGTAAGGGACCGTGCAGGGAGGTTGGGTCAGGGAAGTGAGACCGACTGCTGGTCTGGGAAGAATGCTGGTCTGGGAAGAATGCTGGTCTGGGAAGAATGCTGGTCTGGGAAGAATGCTGGTCTGGGAAGAATGCTGGTCTGGGAAGAATGCTGGTCTGGGAAGAATGCTGGTCTGGGAAGAATGCTGGTCTGGGAAGAATGCTGGTCTGGGAAGAATGCTGGTCTGGGAAGAATGCTGGTTTGCCATTTCCCGGCAAACGGGTGGTGCTGGGCGGCAGATGTGTGTACAAGAGACGCCAGGCATGGTGTGGGTGGGGAGGCGACGACTCACCACTTGGATCCCCGCGGAGAGCGCAGCACGAGAAGCGGAGAGCGCCACGTCAGCACTGCATCAGCAGGGCGAGGGGATGGCATGAGTGGGGCAGAGGAGAGCGCACGGGTCATGTGGGTGGGGGGATACAATCGATGGGTGGTTGTGACCCATGGCGCGGTGTGAACAGCTGAACAACTGGAGCGTTGCTGTTGATGGTCGCCTCCCCAACGATAAGTGCTTGCAAGCCATGGCATTGCCGGCCATCCAACTCCTGGTGCATTGCTGTGCCACTAACCCTCCCTCACTCTGCTACTACTCAACTCATCCCTCGCCCTCGCGCTCACTCCCTCTCCCCGCACTGGCCACTCGCTCTGCCCCTCTTCCCCCCTCCCCTTCTGTCGCATCCAACTTTTCCCCCACTTCCCCCGCGGCGCGCACCTGTCGGCGCGCACGCACGCCACGATCCCCGACGCCGCGATTGCCGCCACCGTCTGCTGCCGCCTATCAGCGTCTGACACATGGCCCGTCGCACCGTCGCTCCGCACGGCTGCCTCGGTGACGTCAGGAGTTGGTGACAACTGGATGCCACTGGAGCGGCCGTTTACTACGTGGCACCGGACGGACGCGTGGTGCTGACTGCGTGCTGACGTGACATTGCACGAGGACGTGGCTACGCTAGTGGCGCTCATGGTTTTTGCACCCTCGGAGATCGCACGCGGCGAGAAGGGGTTACGCGGGGAGACGCATGGCGGGGAGGAAAGCCGCGCGACCCGCGCGCAGGAGGCGGAGAATGCCACGGTTTCCATACTACGACCCCGCTAGCTACAGCAGAAGGCGAGGGAAGAGTGATGCGCAGACAAAAACGACGAGTTGTGGGGAGGTGTAAACGGAGTTGACAGGTTATGGCGGCAGAAAGAAACACGAAGGATATGGGTGTGTGAGGGTGGAGAGAGAACGGAATTCCGAATTCAGCGGATGAGAAAAACCTCACAGCCAGATGAACAGGTTCACGTCACGAGATTTTGCCACCAAATGAAGTTTGGCTTGAAATTGTGAAAGCTAGGTCTGCGCGTACACTTGTTTTGCCATTCCCACAGCTATAATACTATCGAGTTCGTCTCGAATTTAATTTTCTTCCGTCCAGTCAAGGTACAAACCGTCTTTGAACGTCTGCCACCGTACTTACCCGTATTAACTGTAATGAGCGCCTTCATCGGGGAAGTACACGGCCAGAAGCCTCGCCGCCGCCCTGCCACGCCACCAATCGAGTGCTTGCTTGCTCCCCCGCGTCCTTGAATCTGCGGCCAGGAGCAAACGCAAGGCTGCATCTGTCCCATCCCATCCCATCACACAAACACGTGGGAGAGCTTGAAGAGATACATTTCTCTCTCTGTAGGCATTACCTGTCAGGCGCAGCTGCTTTCCTCCCTTGAGCGTCGAAACCGTAGGGCAGCCCAGCATCGCTGCGCCTCGCCTCCTTCCCACTCGCTTCCCAAGCGCCTCGCGCTGCCTCTCTCCGCGCTTTGCGCTGCCCTCACTTCTGTCTCTCTGGTTTCGGAGGAAAAAAAACCCAGAAAATCCTGCCTCTCTTCTTTTGTCCACCGCTACCCGAGCCATGACCGCCGCACTCTCCCCCTCCCTGGCTCTCGCGCGCTCGTCTCAACTCCGCGCCGCCCTTAGTTTCCGTCCAGGTCACAACACATGGCGGCCACTTATCCAAAGTAGTCCACTCGCGCCGCAATCTACGGCCCGTGATTGCCGGTTGTGGAAGCAATCGCGACGCGCAATGGCGATAGCGGCGGTTGCGGCAGGGGATGCGTCAGGCGGGCAGACGGCAGTGAGTGCCGGCCGGAACGGCGCCACTAGCGCTGCCGCCGGTCCGGACGTGACGGAAACCGGCAAGTCTGCCGGCCGCGAGCGGACGGTGCGGCTGACGTCACGCGGGATTGTGTGGACGGACGACGAGGTGGAGCGCGTGCTGACGGACGCGCGGAAGCGCATCGGGCCGCGCCACGTGGACATGATGACGTGGCGGCGCGCGATCCACGCGTATCCTGAGCTGGCGTTTGAGGAGGAGCGGACGGCTGAGATGGTGGCGGGATTGCTGGCGGAGTGGGGGTATGACGTGGACAGGAGCCTCGGGAGTACCGGCGTGGTGGGGACGCTGACAGTGGGGGAAGGGGGCAGCGCGGAGGGCGGAGAGGCGGAGGAGCTTCCGCCGGCCATCATGCTGAGGTGCGTTATAGCGAGGATGGTGGAGTGTCGCGTGGGAGGTGCGGTGGGGCTATCAGCTGTGCGCGCATCGTGGAAACACGCTGTGGGGAAGACATGGGAGAGGAATAGAGACCTGCATTGTCCTATAGTTGCGCCATGCTCACTTGCCGTACACTTCCTTTCCTATGCACTTCCCTTGGTGGCCATGTGAACTCCTCCTCCTCTCTGCTCCACGCCCCTACACTTCCTATTCTCCGCCGAATGCCCGCCCCTCCTTCCCCACTTCCACACGTCCCCCCTGTGCGAGCGCGCAGGGCGGACATGCATGCGCTGCCCATGGAGGAGGGCAACGCGTGTTGTTAAAGCACCTCACCCTCCTCCCCTTCCCTTGCTCCCCCAATGCCTCATTTCCCCCTCTTACAACCTGCCCCCCGTGTGCATGCGCGCAGGGCGGACATGGATGCGCTGCCCATGGAGGAGGGCAACGCGTTTGAGCACCGCTCACAACGCCGCAGCACCATGCACGCATGCGGGCACGACGGTGAGACGCGCATGCATGATCCTTGAGGCGCCATGCCCATGCCATGCCATGAATGCCCACGTGGCACAATGCGCGCATGAGATTGTCTTCCCTTACCTGCTGCATGCATTACCCCTTCTCCAGCCGCCACTCACTCTGCTGTTCCCCGCTCCCTCCTTCCCCTCCTCCCACCCCCCCACCACCAGGCCACACGGCCATGCTGCTGGGAGCAGCGCGTTACCTGGCGGAGCACCGCCCCTTCCGGGGGTGCATCCTCGTGGTGTTCCAACCCGCCGAGGAGGGCACGCCCACACACAATCATCAACCTGCCAAACCTTATGCCCACGCTCACTGACACACAACTGCCTGCCCTTCTCCTTTCCTCCTCATTCCCCTCCCTACTCTTCCCCCCCACCCTCCGTCTGCCCACGCTTCACGGGCCACGTGGCCATGCTGCTGGGAGCAGCGCGCTATCTGGCGGAGCACCGCCCCTTCAGAGGGCGCATCCACGTGGTCTTCCAACCCGCTTTGGAGGGCACGCCCACTGGCAAATCCTGTTCGCCCCTGCTGCCCCTCCACCCCTCCAACCTCATACGGGCCACGCGGCCATGCTGCTGGGAGCAGCGCGCCATCTAGCCGAGCACCGCCCCTTCCGGGGGCGCATCCACGTGGTGTTCCAACCGGCCGAGGAGGGCTCTCCCTCACACAACCACCCCCCAACCCACGCGCACTGCCAAGCCAGATTCCCAACCCCACTAACAAGTCAACTGCCGGCCCTTGTCCTTCCTTTCCCCCTCAGGCCACACGGCCATGCTGCTGGGAGCAGCTAGATATTTAGCCGAGCAGCGCCCCTTCCGTGGTAAAATTCACGTGGTGTTCCAACCCGCCGAGGAGGGCACGCCCACAGAGAACCAATACGGGCGGGAGGGCGGTGGTGCGCTCGCCATGCTGGAAGATGGGCTGCTCGAGAAATACCCCGTGCGGGCTGCATTCGGCATGCACAACTGGTAATGGGATATGTTCAAGTCGTAATGGCATGGACGCAGCTGCTTGTTTCATGTGCTGATAACCTGCTTTCGCTGTTTGCTCACATCCCTTACCACCCCGACCCCTGCTTCCTCCAGGCCAGGGTTGCTGGTGGGGCGGTTCGAGGTGCAGTCCAGGCACAGCGCTCACCCATCCACATGATAAAAGTTTTATCATGCATAAGTTTTATCACCGCTCACCCATCCACGTGATAGACGTCTCAAAATACAAAATTTATCATGCAGTCCAGGCACACCGCTCACCCATCCCAACCCCTTGCCATCCTTCCCCGCACATGCAGGCCAGGGTTACCAGTGGGGCGGGGATAGACAATTTCCACATCACCATGGCGGGCACGGGCTGCCATGCCGCCATGCCACACCACACCCTGCGAGAGCACCGACCTCTCCATCCCAACCCCCCTTGCCATCCCTCGCTCCCAACCATGCAGGCCAGGGTTACCAGTGGGGCGGTTTGCCGTGCACTCAGGGCCAGTGATGGCGGGGGTGGACAACTTTCACATCACGGTGGGGGGCACAGGCTGCCATGCCGCCATGCCTCATCTAGGAGGGGGCAGTGACCCCGTGCTCGCTGCTGCTAACCTCGTCACCAACCTACAGGTGCGTTTAAGTGGGCGTATGTGCATACATGCTCATGTGCATGTGTGGGAGTGTGTGCAAGTGGAGGTGGTCCTTTAGAAATGAATGGCCTGAGAATTTCCCTGTGTCGGGGCAGTGACCCCATGCTCGCTGCTGCTGCCCTCATCACCAACCTGTAGGTACGCGTGCGGGGATGGTCATGAAGGGCGCTTGTGAGGCGCCGATTGCTGGTTTGAGCAGAGGGAAAAGTGGGCTGATGCCAGGTGTGAGCGTGACCGTAAGAGTGCTACAATTCATCTCAAAAATACTCTTTTTACACGTCGCTGAGTGCTGGTTTGAGCAGAGGGAATAATGGGCTGATGCCAGGTGTGAGCATGACCGTAAGAGTGCTACAATTCATCTCAAAAATACTCTTTTTACACGTCGCTGAGTGCTGGTTTGAGCAGAGGGAATAATGGGCTCATGCCAGGTGTGAGCATGACCCTACAAGCGCTACACTCCCCCACCCCCCTTTTACCCTGCCACCAGGCGTTGGTGAGCCGAGTGGTGGATCCACACGACAGTGCGGTGGTGAGCGTGACGCAGATACATACCAAAGAGAGATTTGCTATTCCTTCCCTCCTCCCCCACACCCCCCCACACCCCCTGCCTCCCTGCCATGGCAGACGTCGGTGAGCAGGGTGGTGGACTCACATGACAGTGCGGTGGTGGGCGTGACACATTCAGATACACTCCCGCACAGCACTGCTCTCCTGTCCTGTCCCCTACCCTCTCCCACTCTCCCAACACACCAAGCAGGCGTTGGTGAGTCGGGTGGTGGACCCACACGACAGTGCGGTGGTGAGCGTGACGCAGATACACGCAGGGGACGCCTTCAACGTCATCCCGCCCTCCGTCAGTGCCTCTCTGCCTTCTCCCTTCCCCACGCCGCCCATGCTCATGCATACGTGCATGCCTTCCTGCATTGAGTGCTTTGCTCCAATCATGCCAGTCACCTGTCCCATGCATGAATCCTCACGAGTGATCTAGAATCTCATGAGAAATTCCAATCATCATGCCAGCCACCTGTTGCTAGCATGCATCCGTACCGCTTTTGCGCTCATCATAGATGAAGGTTGGCCACAAGTGTAGTGTCTGGCCAGCTGTGAAATCAAATTGCCTGCCACTCTAAAAGCAACATAACCCGATGTTGCTCACATCTCTCTGCCCCTCCGTTCCCGTCCTCTCCCCTCCTCTCGCCTCCGCTCCCCTCGTCCCATGGCGGCATGGCAGGCGGAGGTGAAGGGCACGCTGAGGACGTACCGGGGGGAGACGAGGGAAGCGATGATGCGAGGGATAGAGCGCATGGCACAGGGCGTCACTGCTGCTCATGGTGAGAGGGGGAGAGAGGAGAGAGCAGGGGAGGAAGAAAGGAGAGAACAAAGAGGGGTGAAGAGAAGGGGATGACTTCAATCAGGCGACTGTGGGAGAATGTGTCCCTTCACGCCTTACCCTTCTCCTCCCTCACCTTTCTCTTCCCCTTGCCAGGCTGCATAGCCACAGTGCGGTTTTGCGATCACTTCCCTGCCACCGTCAACACTCCCCTGCCATTCTCACACATCTGCCACCTTTCCTTCTCCCCCACTCTTCTTCTCTCAGGCTGCACGGCCACGGTGCGGTTCTGTGATCACTTCCCCGCCACCGTCAACACGCCCAGGGAGGCCCAGGAGGCAGCAGCAGCGGCACGGGCAGTGGTGGGAGCAGCTTTGGTAGACCTGGACTCTCGCGCGCCCTCCATGGGCGCTGAAGACTTTGGATACATTCTGGAGCGAGTGCCGGGTGAGGGTGAAGGGGACGGGGTAAAGGTTGTGGGGAAGGTGGGAGCGGTGAGAGAGGGCAGTGTTATGGAGATGCCTCATTGGTGGATCGGGAATCGCGTGCTCCCTCCATGGGCGCTGAGGACTTTGGATACATTCTGAAGAGAGTGCCTGGTTAGGGGTTTGGGGGGGGGTACGGAGTGATGGCTAGCCTATGAGTTAAGATGCCCGATGAGTGGACCTGGGCTAACGCGCGGCCTCCATGGGCGCTGAGGTCTTTGGATACATCCTTGAGAGAGTTCCTGGTGAGGAGAGGGTGGGGAGGGGATGATGTGGGAGGGGGGAGGTGCGGGGTGAGGAGAGTGTGGGGGACCGGCAGGCTGTGGGGGGGGACAGGTAGGGAGGAGGTGCGGGAGAGGTGAGGAGGGGATGAGGCAGGCACGGGTGATTTACTAACTCTGGTCCTGGGCTACTTGTTGGTAACCCCTGAGAAGTATTCACTATCCGGCTGTGCTCTCTCTCTCTCTCTCTCTCTCTCTCTCTCTCTCTCTCTCTCTCTCTCTCTCTCTCTCTCTCTCTCTCTCTCTCTCTCTCTCTCTCTCTCTCTCTCTTTCCCTCATGTTCCCTGTCAGGCTGTTACCTGTGGATAGGCAACGGCCCCACGGAAGGAGGCTGCATGCTGCACAACCCCTTGTGAGTTGCCATGGATGGGTCCCAGTGGTGGAAAGTGAATGCGTGACTCGCTGGGAGTTAGCCACACTATGTGAGGGTGTTTGGTTTTATTCTTGAGCTCGCCTTTTTTGTTACCCACCACCGGTATGCAAGCCCATGCTATTCCTGTGGTAATATTCCTGTTGCCTTCGTGCTATTCCTGTGGTAATATTCCTGTTGCCTTCGTGCTATTCCTGTGGTAATATTCCTGTTGCCTTCGTGCTATTCCTGTGGTAGTATTCCTGTTGCCTTCGTGCTATTCCTGCGTTTGCAGGTATGATTTCAACGATGACATTCTTGCACTCGGGGCGAGCTACTGGGTGCAGCTCGTTGTCAACGCCTTGCCACCCAGAAAATGATCATTTGTGTCAAAATATTGGAATATGCCAACATATGGCAATTCTTGTAGTGGAAAACGAGGGTTATCGTAACTATAGCAGTAAGGATTAGAGTGCTTGTAAGGAAAATTCCTTTTCCTTACTTCGCGTCCCTGCTCAGCGCGTACACCACTGTTCCCGCCAACAGCACCCCACAATATCCCGTTACCACTCGCGATATTCGCCTCGACACCATTCCCGCCACTGTTCACGATGCGACCCAACCTCACGGTTCGGTTGGTAACCCGCGCTCCGGACCTCCGCCTCGACAGTCCCCCAACCTCGGCATCAGGCCCGTCGCGCACCCCACTTTCCACATGTTACCGTTACCACCGTAGTTTCGCTATATATTCTTAGCTCAATCCTTCGCTCATTGTATTCTTGTCTCGATAGTGCAATCCTCGTTCATTCACTCAATTGCACTCGTAACACTTGGTTATCAGAGCCTACGATCTTCTCTCGGACCGCACCCACACCTTCGCTTCCCACTATCTCAATTTTTTGGGGGGGGGTAGACGTCCCTCAGCGACCAAGCACCGCCGCTCGTAGTGCTCTCTCGTAAGCACGCACGGCCACGACAGAGGCTCTCGCTGAGCTCGCCCGACACCCCCGCCATGGCAGAACTTAATATCGCGACACTGACACAGGAGCAGCTCGACCGGCTCATGCGCCAACTCGAAGAATCGGCGCTTGAAATCGCCACACTCACGGCGGAACGCGACTCCGCTTGCCAACAATCGACAGTGTATGCACCAGCACCAACAAACGCACCTGCACACTCCGAGGAGCCGATCGTTATCTCCTCCGGCACACCAACACAGAACGACAGCGTGGGACAGCGCTCGGGCATAGCCAGTGAGGGCGCCGCTCACTCAATGCCTGGCATGGAGCGAAACAGAGTCACACCAAGCCCACGGGAGCCCCGCGACAAGTGGCGAGTACGCCATCACGGCACCAATGCCACTCAAGCCGCAGCGTCCGCCCTGTTTCGATCCAAGCCAACGTGGGGGTCCGACGGTTCAGTCGTGGGTCTTCACAATGAACGTATTCTTCGACGCGAACTACGTCGAGTCGGACGCAGCGAAGATCCGCTACGCTGTTGAGGGGCCCTGCCATGGACTGGTGGCGAGTCATCGTGACGTCGCCACGCGCCTACGAGCCACCGTCGCAAGAAGACGGGCCCGCAGGCCCAGCCGACACCTGGAGTTCATTCTGCGAGACAGCCCAGTACAGCACGTGGGATGCGTGGTGCGCAGGGCTTCGGGCGCGTTTCGAGCCGATCGCGGCTTCGATTTCGGCACGTCAGAAGCTGCGCACTTGGCGGCAGCTCGGATCGGTTCAAGATTATACGAGCGGCTTTCTCGCACTATGCGAACAAGTTGGCTATATGCATAAAGCGGAGCGGGTGGACCGTTTCGTCGGAGGGCTAAAGCCGGACATATCGCACGAAATTATGCTACGCGGGCTATCGAATTTCAATGAGATCCTCGCGCTCGCCGAGTTAAGCGACATTCTACGACGACCGATACCGGGGTCCTACTACGGACAACGTCCTCGGGGACCGATCGATCACGCCACCGTACACGCCGTTGCGACAAATGCAGCTGCCGCAACGTTTAAGGGGCGCTGCTTTGCTTGCAATAGGCCGGGCCTGTCAAACATTATACATGTTCATATTGTGTAGGCTATAGTGGGTTTAGCCTTAGGGGGTACAACATTGCTAGGGTTTCCTACTTGTATCACCCTGCTGCCTAGTTTCACACATTCTCGTTCAGTTCTACATTCTAACATGGTATCACGAGCCTAGGTTGCTACCTAGGACCGCTTTCTCCTACGGGCCCACTATTCCGCTAGACGCGCCCTCGTGCATCCTACCTTACGTGTGCCCTCGTGCGCCTTTCTATACTCGTGCGCCCTCGTGCGCCCTCGTGCGCCCTACCTTACGTGCGCCCTCGTGCGCCCCCGTGCGACCCGCCCTTCGGTCTGCCCGCGTGCCGTCCTGCAGCCCTCGCGCTGCCTCCTGCAAGCTAGTACGGCCCTCGAGCCGCCCCTGCAGGTCCGTCAGGCCCCCGAGCCGCCTCTGCAGACCCGTCAGGCCCCCCCGAGCCGCCTCTGCAGGCCCGTCAGGCCCGAGAGCCGCCCCTGCAGCCAGCGCGCTGCCCTGCCGAGCCGCGTGTCGCCCGTGGGCGCTGCCTCTGCCCCGTCGCGCTGCCCTGGGGAGCCGCGCGCGACCCCCGCTGTCCCGTCGCGTCGCCCTGGGGAGCCGCGCTCGGCCCCCGCTGCCCTGTCGCGACGCCCTGGGGAGCCGCGCTCGGCCCCCGCTGCCCTGTCGCGACGTCCTGGGGAGCCGCGCTCGGCCCCCGCTGACCCGTCGCGACGCCCTAGGGAGCCACGCGCGACCCCCCCGCTGCCCCGTCGCAACGCCCTGGGGAGCCGCGCCCCCCCCCCCCCCCCCCCCCCCCCCCCCGCTGCCCCGTCGCGGCGCCCTGGGGAGCCGCGCGCCGCCCCCCCCCCCCTCGCTGCTGCCCGAGCCACCCTGCAGCCCGCGAGCCGCCTCTGCAGCGCCGAGTGCGCTCTGCCAAACCCTAAAATAAATAATTAATTAAAAAAAAAAAAAAAAGGGAGCAGCTGCCCCTGGCCCCTGGAGCAGCCGCCCCTGGAGCAGCCGCCCCTGCAGCAGCCGCCCCTGCAGCAGCTGCCCCTGCAGCAGCCGCCCCTGGACCTCTGCAGCCGCCCCTGGCCCCTGGAGCAGCCGCCCCTGCAGCTGCCGCGGAGCCCTCGCCCTGCAGTGGTAGCGGCCTCGCCGTTACCACCGTCGTACGCCAGCCCTTCTCGCCACTGGTGAGCACTGCCCTGCCCGTATTGCTGTTACTGCTGCTCCTGCTGCTACTGCTCTTTCTACTTCTACTGCTGCTCCTGGCGTGGCCAGATGCAGCTCCAGCGCCGTCCGCGTGAGTCCCTCACGCCCCAACAGCTTCGTGAGTGGTATGCTGGTTGGGGTTGTAGGGGTGGCCGCGCTGCTGCTACTACTACTGCTGCTACTACTGCTACTGCTGCTCCTGGCGGTGGCCAGATGCAGCTCCTGCGACGTCCGAGTGAGTCCCTCACGCCCCAGCAGCTTCGTGAGTGGTACGCTCAGCGTGGAGGGTCACGGGGTACTGCTCGCTGCCCGTACGTCATTCGCACTGGTGCTCGGACTGGTCAGCCTTGCGGGACGTTTGGTCACACAGAGTCCCGCTGCTTCGCCCGTCTGAGCGACGCCTGGCGTACAGAGTTTGGCGACGCGGCTGAGCTCCCCGACTGGGTGGAGCTGCTTAGGCAGAGGGTAGATATCTATGCTCTTGACTATGATGCTATCCTCACTGCCATGTATGCATTTCCTACTAGTGCTGAGAGTGCCTGTCACCTGTGTGTGCCGCCTGACCCCGGTATCCAGTCTGCTGCTCTAGGTACTGGTAAGGCTGCTGCACTAGGTGCTCGTGTGTCTGTTGCCCCAGGTGCTGGTGAGGCTGCTGCTCTAGGTACTCGTGAGTCTGCGCCCTCTGGTACTGCGTCTACTGAGGCACTGCACACCTTCACACTGGACTCAGGCGCTTCCCGCTGTTTCTTTCGTGACCGCACTGCCCTTGAGCAGCTTGCTCGGCCGGTTGCAGTCTCCCTCGCTGACCCCTCTGGGGGTCCGGTCATTGCGACCGCCTCTACTGTTCTCCCTTGTCCTGCGGTCCCGTCGGGCACTCTGTCAGGTCTCTACCTCCCCTCGTTCTCTACGAACTTGGTGGCGGGTAGTGCGCTCCAGGACGGGGGTGTCCACCAGTTTACCCCTGCCTACGAGCGTGTGACACACTGCACGTGCGCTCGGACGGGCCGCCACCTGGCTACCTTCACTCGGCAGCCGGGGTCGGACCTGTACACACTGACCACTGAGTCCCCACAGGTAGCTGCGTCTGCGTCTGCGTCAGGTCAGCTGTCTGCCCCCTGCTCGTGTCGCTCTCTGGCACACGAGACTGTCCTCTGGCACCACCGTCTTGGTCACCCGTCAGTGCAGCGCCTTCGTGCCATGCACAACCGGTACCTTGTCTCTGGTCTTCCCAGGGTTCTCCCTCCACTCCCACCCTCGCCTGCTCCTCCCTGCCTTCCCTGTGTCGAGGGGCGGCAGCGCGCCGCTCCTCACTCCTCCTCGTTTCCCCCGACGACTGCTCCCTTGCAGACGCTCCACATGGACGTGTGGGGCCCAGCCCGCGTCCGTGGACAGGGTCAGGAGAGGTACTTCCTGATCGTTGTTGACGACTACTCGCGCTACACCACGGTCTTCCCCTTGCGCACCAAGGGTGAGGTCCCTGATGTTTTGATCCCTTGGATCCGCGCTTCTCGTCTCCAGCTCAGTGAGCGGTTCCACTCGGACTTTCCTGTCCTGCGTCTGCACTCTGACAGAGGTGGTGAGTTCTCCTCTGACCTCTTGGCAGCCTACTGTGCGGAGCACGGCATCCGCCAGTCGTTCACGCTTCCGGCCTCTCCACAGCAGAATGGGGTTGCTGAGCGCCGCATTGGTTTGGTCATGGAGGTCGCTCGTACCTCCTTGATCCATGCGGCTGCCCCCCACTTTCTGTGGCCGTTTGCGGTCCGATACGCTGCGCATCAGCTCAACCTCTGGCCCCGTGTCTCCGTTCCGGAGACTTCGCCGACACTGCGTTGGACGGGAGATGAGAAAAGTAGAACGAGAATTAATGAACCATGAATGAAGTGAGTACATATGGGAAACCCTAATTGGGTTGTACCCCCTATGGGATACCCCACTATAGCCTACACAACAGCATAAGCTATATATATGGTCTGACACACCCCCATAGGCAAAGTGGGGGAGAACAAGGGGTCACAAGACCAGTCAAGCAAAGCAGAGCAAGCTCAGGGTGGATCACAAAGTCACCACACAGTCCGAGCACAACGACAGGGCAACAGGGCCAGTTCACATGCAGGAGTACACA